GCCGTGTAGTTGTTTCTCGCATCTTTGTATCGCTGGTATGTTTGGGGGTTCGGCCTCTTCCTGTATTGATTCCATTTTTGTGTCTTTCGGTCTCTAGCCCTCTCGCAATTTCTATTGAACCAATCCTGTTTCCTAGTTCTGCATCTCTATTTTGGTATAAATTTTTTTGTGCCTTTATCATATATTTCACAAAACTTGCCATACATCTCATTCACTTCCTTGCCTAGCATCAAGTCTGTCCAATTATACTCACTAAAAAAATTTCTAAGGTCACCATAATGTCCTCTCCTGAAGTCTGGTTTTTCAACTGCTTCAACCTCCTTATTTTCTTCCAGCTTATAACGCATTGCATACTTTATTCCCAAAAAGACATGGTCACTTTTACCCAAGGGAGGAAGGTACTGAATGTCAAACATCTCTTCCTCCTTCCTGGTAAATATCAAATCTAGCATGGAGGGAACGTCCCCTTCCCTCATCCTCGTAGCTTGTTTAACATGTTGATACAAGAATGTTTCCAGGATGAGGTCTACAAATTTACAGGTCCAAAAATCTTCAGTTTTAGCTTCATATGCTTCCCAGTCTATGGATTTCAAGTTGAAGTCACCGACTATCAACAGTCGTGATCTATCGTTATCCGCTCCCGCTATAATCTCTCTCATTATTGTTATAAGACCTTCACGTTTACTATCTAGCTCCTCCTTTGACCATGTGCTGCTTGGCGGTGGACTATATGCATTTATCATCATTAGTTTATCATCCTCATAGCAGATCTCTAGTGCTATTATGTCAACTTCTTGTGGATTGGCAGTCATTATTTCCTTCACCTTTAGGTGTTCTTTTACCAGCACAGCAACGCCACCGCCTTTCCTAATTTTTCTGTCCCTTCTCCAAATTGAGTAGCCCCTTGGGAATATGACCTCATTTAAAATTACATCTTCAAGTTTGTGGTGGTGTGGTTTGTGTTGCAGTCTTGTAGTGTGTTAGCATATTGTGGTTTTTGTGGAGGTATTTGCATAGTTGTGCTTGCTGTGATAGAACATGAACTCTAGTCCCTCCTCTTGAACTCCAAATGAGCCTTTGGGCCATGCCGTATCAACAATGATGTGTGGCTGCAGGAAGTAAGTGTTCCTCTTTATCCCCTGTCTCCTAGCCAGGGATACACTTATTTAATATGTAGGTATCACTCAGTGTACTTTTTCTCCCTCAATTCCAATATTTTCCAAACATTTATAAAACCTCTCAATAAAAATAGCATCTTTATAATTATATAGTACTTTATATACTGTACTAACTGGGTATGAAATAAATTCATTACAAGTACAGTACAGTATTGTAACGAGTAAATTACAAATTAAACATTAACCACTTACTGAGAACAGCAGAACTACATGTGGATCCTTATCAACCACATTAAAGTCAACTAAATACAGTATTGGTACTTTTTACTTGGCTTTTAAATGAGAGTTTGCAATTTCAATCTTAAGTGAATCAATGTGTTGCCTTATCAGTATATCTGCAGCATCTCCAGGAGAAATGACTCCATCCATCACCTTATCTTCAATTTGATTTATTGTCTCTCTTAACCCAGGAGCATTTATAAAAGCAGATATTAAGCTGTCCTTTAAGTAAGTCCATAACCATGTTTGTCGCTGAGACCTACGACGAGTTAAAAACTCGCCACAATCCTCCATGCTTTTCTTGTACATTTGCATGAGCTGCCACAGTTCGGGAATGCCCTCACCTGTTACTGATGATATCCGTTTTACCGGTGTTGACCAGTGCTTACTTCTCGGCCGGATATATTTGAGAGCTGATATATACTCATACTGCATACGTCTAGCAGCTGGAATAAGATCTCCATCACTTTTATTGACAACAATAAGCTGACTCATCTCCATAATGCCTCTTTTTAATCCTTGTAATTCATCTCCTCCTCCAGGAGGAATAATAAGAGCAAAGAGATCTACCATATCTGCAACAGAATACTCACTCTGACCAACACCTATTGTCTCCACAATTATGATGTCAAACCCTGCTGCTTCACATAATACAATTGCTTCGTTAGTTGAGCGAGTCACCCCACCTAAATGACCCCGTGAAGGAGAGGCTCGAATATAGGCATTCATGTCACGCGAGAGCTCATTCATTCGTGTTTTATCCCCCAAAATTGACCCTCCACTCGTGACTGAAGATGGGTCAACTGCCAATACTGCTACTTTATGACCTTGTGCAGTCAAAAATTTTCCAAAACTTTCAATGAAAGTTGATTTTCCAGCCCCAGGAGGTCCAGATAAACCTAAACGGTAACTTAAAGCTTTGGTCCCATGTGCATAATATAAATTTTTGGCATCTTTTAACACTTCAGTTATCAGTTGTTTGGCTTGAAGTTTCTTTCTTGAGTGAGTTGTTTCCACAAGTGTGATTGACTCTGCTAAGCTGGCTCGGTGGCCTTCCCGTAGTCCTTTAAGCAAACGCTGCACAAGTGGATCCCCAGTTCCTGTAGAACAGCATTAGTTTTGAGTCTTCCTTTGCTCATGACTATTATTTTGTGTAACAACTTTATTACACAAACTGTTCTTAATATAAAAAATAACAGCAATTTTTTACAAATAAGTACAGTATTTGTAAAAGGATGTAAATTAAAAGTTCATATATATCAGGAATCGTCAGTCAGATTTAAATTTCCTTGGATATTGTCATGCCAATACCATAGTTTCTAAGCACAGTTTAAAAACTAAAGCTGTGCCCAAAGAGATCTAGCATAATCAGACTAGACCTACTGTACTATACAGTGCTTGGGATTTCAACATTGATCTAATTATGTGGCCAACCAATTAAATGTCATCCAATGTTGCTACAATGTAAGCATTTGCAAAGATAGATAGATAGATAGATAGATAGATATATATATATATATATATATATATATATATATATATATATATATATATATATATATCTATCTATCTATCTATCTATCTATCTATCTATCTATCTATCTATCTATCTATCTATATATATATATATATATATATATATATATATATATATATATATATATATATATATATATATATATATATATATATATATATATATATATATATATATATATATATATATATATATATATATATATATATATATATATATATATATATATATATATATATATATATATATTTTGCACATTAAAGCTCATGTTGAGCCAATCTCCAACAAGGATACTTTTTGTTAGCTTCTTTTTATATGCATACTCATTCAAGAAATAAGCTTTTATTGTCAATAAACTTAGCACATAGCTTCTTTCACATTTGTATTCGAATGTTATTTCCAAGAAAATACTCATGGATTGACTGGCACTAATCCTGTGTTCTTGAATGTTCATCTTATTTTTCAAAATCAGCAATGCCTTTTTTTGTGAGAATTATTGATGCTTAGGTAGTTTCTTGAGATTTCAATCTTCATTAGTGCTGACTCTAGTGTGCACCTTCATTAGAGATATCAACTGCAGAACCATATATAAATTCTTGGGAATACATACATTGTCCTCTAGAGTATTACTATTACTCTCTTAACAGAATATGAAAATTTTCTTCAACCCAGTTTCCAAATAACCTAATGTACATGTCACCAAATTGAAAGCAAACTGCAATGGAAGCACTTACAAAGGAGGAGGACAAACAATAACAGGGGAAGCTGTGGACGAAACCAAAGTCGAAGCGACTAAAGCCCCCCCCAAGTCCGGGTCCCTATAACCAAAGCGGGGCAGCCACGGGGCATCTGGAAAGGCAACCAACCTAGCACATTGCAGCAACCTAAACCATGCATGCAATGCCACAGCTGCCTGCACCCCTATTATCAGTATTAATGGACTGGGTGAATTGGAGCACCAGTAGGGAACACCACTAGCAGGATTCTGGGTCAAAGGTGTCATAGACCCAACAGGCAGCATGATGCAGGCAAAGATGGTGAATGTCACCCTGAGACAAGGGGACAGAGCAACCTTCGAACTCAAACAAGGCAAGATGGGACCCAGAGGACGCATCCATTGGACCAATGAGCCCCAATGGAGTTTTCCAGGGCTCTTAGTCTGACTGCTAAGGGAAGCCCAGGCAAGGTACTGTTAATAGGTTGGCCCAAACTAACAAGAGAACAACTAAATCTGAACCCCTACGACGTGTACAATCATGGGGACCTAGTGGGGAACCACCAGAATAACAGAGGGCAGACAATGACCAAGGGGCAGACCTGCCACCAGGTAACAAACAAAAAGAAATGGAAAAACCCCACAAAAGCACAACATCCCAAGGAGGAACAGAACCGGCCACTGTGATCAATGAGAGACTAGCTGCACAGTACCTTGTGCCCCTTTCAGCAACGAAACTACTGTACCTCCTACTCAAGGTCAAACAGCGGCTATGAAAACCCCCAGCTGACCCCAAGGGCAGGCAATCACTGAACAGCAAAAGATCCCTACTGAAGTAGTCCCCGAATGACTTATGGGAGATAACCCCAAGCTGCAAAGGCAGTATTTACAGGGCACCTAGGGAAGAAGGCCCTAGGTGCATGCAGCCCCAGTACTCAGTGAATTATTCCTGACTTGCACACCACCAAACAGCAGACCACCACCACAAGGGCACAGCACTGCACAGACACATGAGTCAGAGTCAAACAACCGCCATGTAAGACATCAGCCTCAGAACTGGGGTTGGATGGCCCGCACGGGGAACTCTGGGTTCCCCCTTCCCCCCTTCCAGGGAGGGGGAAGCTATACAGACAGTGGTGTGACGGTGGTTGTGACGTAATGCTTGTTTGCTTGTTTTCTATTTGGGGAGTTCCGCTTGACAATTTGGCTTTCGGTAGCACTTTTTAACCAGGTGGGGTTTGTTTTGAGATGCCTACCTTTCTGGGTGCTTAACCCAGTCGATGGCAGGCATGAAATGCTCCCAACCACATGGGGGGTTTCTATAGGCCATTGCTCCTCGTACCTCTCTGAGGGGGCCAAGTTCTGGCTTGTGGTCCCCGATAGGCAAGAACGCCAATCGATTGACTGATACTATGGTCTAATACATGCATAGCAGCTCGGTAAGCTCCAGGAAGCCGGAGGGGCTCTCCAGAGAAAAATTGGTACTGTATGCCTAAAAAAAACACAAATGAATATAATGTACAATACAGTATCCTAGTGTACTGTACATTCAAAGCATCGAGTGTACAGTATAGAGAACCACAATATTGGTTGAATGCAACAGCCTGGATTTTAGAATTGATACGCCTTATTACACGTTTGATTTGCATAGGCCAGGATTGGAAGTACAGGGGTATTTAAATACAGTATTTAAACCATAAAAAGAAAGACTACAAACTCTAAACTTATTTTCTTTAAGGAAGCAAGGAAGCATAGGAAGCATAGACTTCTGGATTTAATTTTTTTTTTTTAAGATGAGCCTGTTGAAGAAAATCTAAACACTTAAATAGGAAGACAAATCTGAGATGTAAGTAGTGTCACATGAATCCCCTGCATAGCAGTGGAACTACCTTTTCCCCTCACCTTCAATGCCTCTACACTGGAAGTCTACATCTACATCAGCCCAGATGAGTCATCAGTCCTGCCACCTCTCCGTACCCACCAAGGCCTGGCACAGCCTAGTACGACTCAGAGGCAAGCCGTGCACCTCTGCTAACCGGTAGTTTGTCTTCACAACAAGCAGTTAGCCACCTTCAACTGGCAGTGGTGCAGCTCAACACAAAGGCACCGCCAGCCACAAACGAGCAGTTTGCAAGCTGACCAGATGTCCACCTTGCGTTGACACCGGATGAGTCATCACCGCCGGACAATATAAAGGATAGTCTCCGCCTCCCTGGAGAGGCAATCTCTCTTAGTGCTCTTGGATCACCTTAGCGTCCTGCAATGCCGTCTGCCTTTAGCCAACGTCGTATGCTGGATGCTGTGATGGTATGGTAGTTGTCTTCAGCATCACCAGTATAATCTTGTATTGTATTAGAGTTAAACTTTCATTTACTTATTTGATTTGTTATAAAATAATGGCCAAGTATTCTCAGGTGCCATTTTTTTTCATTAATATTTCAATAAATTGTTTAAATTATTTATTTGATGATTTTCATTTGTTTCCACGTGCAACTTACACACTGCAAGGCCAATAGCAGCATTTTTTTATTATTTATGTGAGGGAGAGCCATACCATCTTGGTTCAGTATAGCTGCGATACCACAACCAGTCACAGTAGATAAAGCAACAATAAATTATGGCATGTATTGTAGGACCTAGAGGGGACGGAGAACTTTTTTCTTTGCTAGCTTCTCTCCTTTTCTAGAAGAAAACCAAATTTAGACCAACGAATCTTCTGTTATCTGTCTTTTCCAAATACACATACAGTACTGTACTGCTCCACTATTCATATCTAACGTATAAATTTTTTCAACCTTCCATAATCCCTACCAGGGATCCAAGCATTAATCTAAATACTGTACTGCATTAACACATGTAAAGCTAATAATTTTGAAGTTTCTAACTTGTTTTGGTTTCTTTTTATGCCACACTTTAGGTAAAGTACTTATATTTAGAGAGAAGTGGCTACTGAACAGTGGCTTTACCTTGAGGATTATCTAGATATGCATTTCATTATACAGTACAGTAATACTGTACTGTATAATGTACAGTATACAGTACAGTACAGTAATACTGTACTACATAGTTAATTTTGGGCCCTTTCAGGTGATTTTTTATTTTATTTATACAGTATATACAAGAGTTCTTACATTTTTGTACAGCCACTAGTACACGTAGCGTTTTGGGCAAGTCCTTAATCCAATGTTCCCTGGAATACGACCCCCGCGAAGAATCGTTTTTACAACCAAGTACCCATTTTACTGTTGAGTTAAACAGAGGCTACAGTTAAGGATTTGCACCCAGTAAATCCTCCCTGACCATGATACGAACTTAGGACAAAGCGCTCGTGGAACTTTGAAGTTCCGTGAGCTAATAATACATCATTTAGTTCTTCCCTGTAAATGCTGCAATAACTTTTGAACCAATAACCTGTGTATATATGTGGTCCAATCATACAAGTACAGTATTTAAATACTACAGTATAAGAATGCTCACTACTAACAGCAATACATACTGCTATACAATATACAGTACAGACATACTATACTTTACATGGGCACTATGATAAGTCCTCTGTTATATAGTGCTTTCCTGACTCATTAAATTATTGTAAAATTTATGTGCAGTAAGTCATAAGATAATGGGTTAAACATTAAGGGGTAAAATGTGTATCCATCTGTGTATTGGATGCCCTAGAAATATCACCCAAGAGTTTTTGCAAGAGCTGCAGCAAAAAAAAATTCAACAGACAACTTCAGACCAATCAGTTTGATGTCACATATCACACAGAACCTAAAAGAGTCACGGTAGTTCTCACCGCACAATCGAGAATTCCAAGTGCGTATCCTGTGTAGGACAGAAATGGTTGGGCTCATTTCCTTTCATCTAATACGGCCTTGGGGGAAAGGGGAGGGACCTCGATAAAAGCCAAAACGTGTATGAATACACTCTGGCTTCCTGTCCCCTGACACAATGAATTATAATTATTATTATATAATTTACAATATAATAAGAGACAATTCTAACTGAAGAAATCCTCCACCCTCTGACAGTATAGAAATGTATAAAAGCATCACATAGTTTTGTTAAAAATTAGTACAGCCTAACAAACTTGTTCACAATTCTGGAAATGGTAACCAACTATAGAGACAAAGGAGTTCTGACAAATAATTCATTGTCGGGGGACAGGCAGCCAGAATGATTTATACATGTTAGGCTTCTATCGAGGGGTCTTCACCCCAAGATCGAATTACTAACCCTCCCCATAACAAGCTGACTAACTTCTGGGTATCTACTTACTGCTTGGTGAATAGGCACATTAGGTGATAGGAAATGCGCCCAACCATTTCTGTTCCGCCTGGGATTCGAACCTGGACTTCACAATTGCGAGTCGAGAATGAACCCGACTGTATCACCAAACACCTAGATGTAGTATACATGGACTTCTCCTAAGCTTTTGCAAAGGTCCCACACATAAGATTGGCACAGAAACCACAAGGATATGGAATAAACAGTAAAATACTAGAAATACTAGATAATACTTGAGTGCAGTATTGTAAAATACTGCACTCTAGTGCAGTATTGTGCAGCGAGTGCTGTAAACAGTAAAATACTAGAATGGATAAACAATGGTTAAAACAAAGGCGGCTATGGTTTATCCCAAACGGAAGAGAATCTGATTAGAAAAATGAGTGAAGTACCACAAGGCTCCATATATGGTTAACACTTTTTGTAATACAATATGCTTCAACTACATAGATGATAAAATTACAAATTACATCAAACTGAGATTACATCAAACTGATGATGCAAAGATCTATGGTAAAATGGAATAACAAATTATGTCTTGCAAAAAAAATTTACATCCTACACTGTTATAAATACAAAAGTTATATGTTCAATATATTGTCATTTAGGACAATATAGTCACACTCGGGCATTTCACACACTGGTCATTTCATCCAGAAATTTGTCACCAGATCCAAGGCGACCACAGCACAATCATCTCAAACTTTAACGACTTTGAAAGATACAACTCACCTCCAGCCATAACAGAGACATTCTTTGTGCCAAGTACTAAAGACTGGCATATTTGCCTGGATAATAGTACGGAAGCCATGATGCGAGATCACAAGAACTATATACAGGAGTACTGGAAGGAGGCCGGCACTGGCAGTGATGTTACACAGTGACACTGCTCAACGTCAGCTAACAACAGAATTGTTGTAATGTTTCAGTAGCTGACGCGGCGCTGCAATATGTTGCTGTCGCTGATTTAGGGGGTGACGACCATCATTGAATCAGGTGCACCCCGAGAGCTGCAATAACTTCACGGTGTGTTGCTGAGTGTTGTGATGATGGCCCCACACTGGGGAATGGTCGCTTGTCTTTATGGTGCTGCAATGGTTACGTTTTCTATGGTTGGTTATCAGAGTGTACGTTGTGTTTTATTTATTTATTTATTTTATTTATTTATATATATACAAGAAGGTACATTGGGTTTGTGAGAATACATTGGATAGTACAGTAATTACATTCTTGTAAAGCCACTAGTACGCGCAGCGTTTCGGGCAGGTCCTTAATCTAGCAGATAATTTTAAGTAGGTAAGTTCAATCAGAATTGATAAATGAAAGATACATTACAAGAGAAAAATGAGATGAGAGAGATAAGTAAGTATATTAAAGCACATTGTTATATTAAAGCTCTGATTGATTACATTGACAGCTTGATTAGTAATTTAAACAAGATTAATAGACACCATACAGCAGATTGTCAACACATATATGACAGCAATGATCACAATGGTAAAGATGTTCAGAATGGGTACATATATTTATATATATTTTTTATATATAGTTTTATATATATATGTCGTACCTAGTAGCCAGAACGCATTTCTCAGCCTACTATGCAAGGCCCAATTTGCCTAATAAGCCAAGTTTTCATGAATTAATTGTTTTTCGATAACCTAACCTACCTAACCTAACCTAACCTAACTTTTTCGGCTACCTAACCTAACCTAACCTATAAAGATAGGTTAGGTTAGGTTAGGTAGGGTTGGTTAGGTTCGGGCATATATCTACGTTAATTTTAACTCCAATAAAAAAAAATTGACCTCATACATAATGAAATGGGTAGCTTTATCATTTCATAAGAAAAAAATTAGAGAAAATATATTAATTCATGAAAACTTGGCTTATTAGGCAAATCGGGCCTTGCATATTAGGCAGAGAAGTGCGTTCTGGCTACTCCGTATGTAATGTATAGCCGTAATGAAAATGTATAGCCGAGGCTATATGAACCACCCCACCGCCGGCCACCGCCGGATAACTATCCGAGTGCCAGCGGTGATGGTCAAGTGGATTAAGGCGTCTTGTACATACCAGTTGCGTTGCTTCTGGGAGTATGGGTTCGAGTCACTTCTGGGGTGTGAGTTTTCAGTTGCATATGTCCTGGGGACCATTCAGGCTTGTTCGCATTTGTGTTCCTCACGTGTGCCCCAAAGAATGAGGTGATTTGGTAAAATGCTATGCCCAAGATAACTATCCGAGTGCCGGCGGTGGGGTGGTTCATATAGCCTCGGCTATCACCTCATTATGTCCGGTCGTGATGGTCAAGTGGATTAAGGCGTCTTGTACATACCAGTTGCGTTGCTTCTGGGAGTATGGGTTCGAGTCACTTCTGGGGTGTGAGTTTTCAGTTGCATATGTCCTGGGGACCATTCAGGCTTGTTCGCATTTGTGTTCCTCACGTGTGCCCCAAAGAATGAGGTGATTTGGTAAAATGCTATGCCCAAGATAACTATCCGAGTGCCGGCGGTGGGGTGGTTCATATAGCCTCGGCTATCACCTCATTATGTCCGGTCGTGATGGTCAAGTGGATTAAGGCGTCTTGTACATACCAGTTGCGTTGCTTCTGGGAGTATGGATTCGAGTCACTTCTGGGGTGTGAGTTTTCAGTTGCATATGTCCTGGGGACCATTCAGGCTTGTTCGCATTTGTGTTCCTCACGTGTGCCCCAAAGAATGAGGTGATTTGGTAAAATGCTATGCCCAAGATAACTATCCGAGTGCCGGCGGTGGGGTGGTTCATATAGCCTCGGCTATCACCTCATTATGTCCGGTCGTGATGGTCAAGTGGATTAAGGCGTCTTGTACATACCAGTTGCGTTGCTTCTGGGAGTATGGGTTCGAGTCACTTCTGGGGTGTGAGTTTTCAGTTGCATATGTCCTGGGGACCATTCAGGCTTGTTCGCATATATATATATATATATATATATATATATATATATATATATATATATATATATATATATATATATATATATATATATATATATATATATATATATATATATATATATATATATATATATATATATATATATATATATATATATATATATATATATATATATGTCGTACCTAGTAGCCAGAACGCACTTCTCAGCCTACAATTCAGGGCCCGATTTGCCTAATAAGCCAAGTTTTCCTGAATTTATATTTTTTCTCGAATTTTTTTCTTATGAAATGATAAAGCTACCCATTTCATTATGTATGAGGTCAAATTTTTTTATTGGAGTTAAAATTAACGTAGATATATGACCGAACCTAACAAACCCTACCTAACCTAACCTAACCTATCTTTATGGGTTAGGTTAGGTTAGGTAGCCGAAAAAGCTAGGTTAGGTTAGGTAGTCGAAAAACAATTAATTCATGAAAACTTGGCTTATTAGGCAAATTGGGCCTTGCATAGTAGGCTGAGAAGTGCGTTCTGGCTACTAGGTACGACATATATATATATATATATATATATATATATATATATATATATATATATATATATATATATATATATATATATATGTCGTACCTAGTAGCCAGAATGCACTTCTCAGCCTACTATGCAAGGCCCAATTTGCCTAATAAGCCAAGTTTTCATGAATTAATTGTTTTTAGACTACCTAACCTACCTAACCTAACCTAACCTAACTTTTTCGGCTACCTAACCTAACCTAACCTATAAAGATTGGTTAGGTTAGGTTAGGTAGGGTTGGTTAGGTTCGGTCATATATCTATGTTAATTTTAACTCCAATAAAAAAAATGACCTCATACATAATGAAATGGGTAGCTTTATCATTTCATAAGAAAAAAATTTGAGAAAATATATTAATTCAGGAAAACTTGGCTTATTAGGCAAATCGGGCCTTGAATAGTAGGCAGAGAAGTGCGTTCTGGCTACTAGGTACGACATATATATATATATATATATATATATATATATATATATATATATATATATATATATATATATATATATATATATATATATATATATATATATATATATATATATATATATATATATATATATATATATATATATATATATATATATATATATACATATATATATATGTTGTACCTAGTAGCCAGAACGTCGTACTTGGTCACGTCTACATCAGCAGATAATGTGTAATGTAAACTGTGTCAACAAAATTATTCGCACACCCTCCGTCACTATGTGATGGAGTGTGAGAAGATACGTGAGATACGAAGATAAATGAGTGTGAAAAGATACGTGAATTTAGAGACAATTCTATAACCAATGTTCCAGCGATGTGTCAATATTTCATTCAAAATGATCTGCTACAAGAAATTTTAGCCAAATATCCCCAGTTTGCTAACTGTAGGTAGTAACTGAGTGATTGTAACCTATCCACCGCTACCCACTGGATGGGGGGCGGTGGCAAGGACAAACATATAAATTTTGACACTAGCTCTCCACATATGTCAGTTGCTTAATTTAGAACCTGTACTTGAGGTCGATCTCGAACCCATTGTTGATGTGACTACTTACATTGAATTTTGTAACTAGCTCATCAAGATTGTAACTTGCTTAGCTAAATGAATTGTGGGGTTCAGTCCCTGAGCCCATTATGTGCCTCTAACCCTTTCCACTACCGCCCACAAGATGGGTATGGGGTGCATAATAAATGAACTAAACTAACGTCGTACTTGGCCTACTATGCAAGGCCCGATTTGCCTAATAGGCCAAGTTTTCCTGAATTTATATATTTTTCCAAATTTTTTCTTATGAAATGATAAATCTGTCTATTTCATTATGTATAAGTTAATTTGTTTAAATTTGAGTTAAAACTAACGTAGATATATGCAGCAATGATCACTCCCCACATACTGTGAGCACAGTCAGTCAGGTGCTGTCACAGTGAGAGGTTGTGTTAGCTGGAGCTCTGGAGTAACATTATTTTTGCAAAAATGGAAGGATTAGTGAAGGAGTTGGTGAGTCTGGTTGGAGCACTGAGAGCAGAGATGGATTCCCTGCGGGAGGAGGTACGACGGCTGAGACTTCGAGAGGAAACGAAGGAGACCAGTGTTGACGAGACCTCATCGTGGAGAGTCGTGAAGGACAGGGGTCTTAAGAAGACCTTGACAAGGCCGCCTACGGACGCCCTAAAGACAGCAAATTCATTTGCCGTGTTGGAGGACGAGTGCTGTGGTGCGCCTGCAGTGAGGAAATCAGCGAGGAGCGGCGGAGCGCAGGCCCCTCAGGCTGCTCAGAAAGTTAAGGAGGTGCCGAAGCGAATTTTGGTTGTGGGAGATTCCCAGGTGAGGTATTTAGACAGAACGTTTTGTGCCAGAGATAGGGGGAACAGATTAAGGGTTTGCTATCCGGGAGCTGGAATTGGTGATATTGTTGGAAACATGAATGATATCATGACGGGAAATGGAAACAAACCCATTATTTGTATTAGTGCAGGGGGTAATGATGTTGGGCGAGTTAGGAGTGAGGAACTAATACAGAGATTCAGGACAGCCATTGAATTAGTTAGGAACAAGGGAGGAATCCCGATCATATGTGGCATTCTTCCAAGAAAGGGAGTGGGAAATGAATGGATGTCGAGGGCACTTGGTGTCAATTGCCGGCTGGAAAGATATTGCAAATCAAATGCAATATCTTTCATAGACAACTGGGAACACTTCTATGGAAGAAATGAAATGTATGCTCGTGATGGGGTGCATCTATCGAGGGCTGGGGTTGTTGCTGTTGCGAACTCGTTGGAACCAGTGGTTAGAGGTGTTTGTTTGGGTTTAAACTGTTAGTAGATAGTGGTATGGGAATTGATTTGGAGGAAGGAGGTAATAAAAGTATGTGTTCGTGGGAGAAAAGAATTGGCAAAATGATAAGGGAAAGAAAAGGGCCTCAAAATAACAATTCACTTAGGATATATTACACTAACAGTAGAAGTCTAAGAAATAAAATTAATGAACTAAATGCTCTTGTCTGCACAGAAAAAATAGATATTATTGCACTTACCGAAACGTGGATGAATGTAGAAAATAGAGAACTATTAGCTGAATATCAGATAAATGGAT